TTGCTGATGAACTTTTTATTATTTTAAAAAATTTAGTTATGCTATTATTCATGTTATTTTTTTCTTCGTTCTGGCAAATTGTATTTTTCTAGAAATTTAGTTCTTTCTCCTAACTTCAAATGTATAATTGAAAAATGATTCACAATATCCTTTCACATGGTTACATTCTCCAATAGCTACAGTTATATCCTCTTTTTCATTTATAATAGTGTTCATTTATATCTTCTTTTTTTCTCATCAGTTATGCTGGATATTTAGTCTTTATTTTTTTAAACAGCAAACTTTGTTGGCTTTGTCTACTGCATACTTTTTTAATTCATTAATTTGTAGTCATTTCCCCTTGTCCTTTCTTTTGCTTTTTTAAGACTTTTTTGTTTGTGTGTGTGCCATCCTTTTAATTTCTTATGCCATGTGATTAGCTCATTAATTTTTATCCCTCTTTTCTAATATAAGCATTTAAGCTTCCTCATGAATGCTACATTGGCTTGTCAAACACATTATAACACATACTTTTATCATTTAGTTCTATATGTTTTATAATTTCCACTATAATTTATTTTTTGGTCTTTTGAATTGTTCAGAAGTTTACTATGACATTTCTAAAAGTCTACGGCTTATCTGGTTCTCTTTTTGATCTTACAGCTGGTTATAATCATGTCACTATGTTCTGGCCCATGGAAATGAACAGAAATTCTATGTGTAACTTTTGGTTTGCGCTAAAGGGGATGTCGTGCTCTCCTTTTCTTTCTTTTGTCTAGTTATAGTGCAAATATAAGGGCTGGAAGCGGAACAGGCACCTTGATCAGGAGGGTTAAGCAACATGTCGAGGATGGAGGAGCAGAAAAACGAAAGAAACGTGGGTTTCTGACAGCAAATGTGCCACGGACACCATATATCTGGATCATTACACAAGAGAGAAATTAACTTCTATCTTATTGAACCCACTATTATTTTTTAATTTCTCTGTTCACTGAAGTCATACGGAACTCTAATATAGAGGTATGAGAAGCTAAATAATCATGGTATTAGTGGAAATGAAAATACATATTTGGGAGGTGATATGAAAACCTGAATTTATATCTCCAAACTGAACTGCTGCCTTACATTCCCTTTAAGCTTCCTAAAATGATTTTTACTGTATTGTCTACATCTCTTCTCCCTTGACATCCTATTTGCTAGGTTCACTAGTTCCCTTCTCTAAACAAGGACATCCACTTTCAGCCTGCCTTTCTGGCACAGAACTGTCTCAATCCCTAATTTTGCAGGCACATTACTAAAGTTAGATTACCTCCAAGGTACACTTTCCCTCTTCCTTGCAGGCTTTCACCACTCCTCTCAATCCTGCAGACTACTACTACTATATTTGTATTCCTACATGCCACAAACCCTGGTTAAAAAAGAAAAACATTAATAGGTCCCTATTGGCTAAGTAGCTGTAATACCACCTTCGCCTCCCAGCTTTGCAACGCACATGACAGAGAATGCAAAGTGTAATGGCACTCTTTTCAAAAGAGCAAACAGAATCTTTCCCTACGGGGTGTTTCAAAAGCCAGTCCTGACTGGTAGGAAGTGGCACTCAGGAAGAAACCTACTTGTATCCCTGATATAAAATAATCAAGTCTTACTCAGTTTGGAGATAAAAATCAAGTTAAACTCCTTGGATTGTGTTTCAGAATTCCAAAATGTCTCCTACTATTCTCTGTGTTATCTCTTCTGAACTTGCAAAAAAAAAAAAGTGAAACACTGACATAGAACAAAAACTTATTGGGTGTCTTTAAAGAATAACCAGCTTTTCCTTAACTCACCCTTCTAGGTTTTTCTGATTCTATGGGATCTCTGTATCTGTCATCCCCTTTGAGATATTTATAACTATGAGTTGCATATAACTGATAGCAATGCAAATGATTCTTAGACTTGCAAATATTTTTATCTGGGTGTTTCAACAGAGTTCTTTAACCCACTGTGGAAGAAGCCAGTTTTGCACCTATTTCAAATTTATTTCAGTACTTTTTAGTGCCTACATATGTGTGATTCTTTGAATGCTGCTTTAAGTCAGTTGTAACATCTTGTAACATCACAATAAGTATCTACTGATGAATTGGGATGCTAAATCAAGATTTTTTTCAGATACCACTTTATTTGGGGGAATCAACCTGCTATATTTTGGGTGAAGGTGTTTCCTTCCTTGGGAAGTTCACACTAAACAATAATGAAAATCTTTAGAGCTTCTGTGAAATACCAGATAAAGAGTGGTACTATCACACACTTTCATTTGGAAAAAATAATATATTAATGTGCTTCTGGAGAATTTTTTCCCTCAACTATTGGACTGGTACTGTGTATACCAATACCCCCAAGAACAGTCTTATGTGAGGGTCATACACAATTCATTCTTTCATTCTACAAATGCTTCTTGATTGTCCACTATATACCAGGAATTTTTGATAGGCCCCAAGGGATGCATTTGCAAGTAAAATGTAATTTCTAATCAAAGAAGCTTGCCTGCTAATAAAGAAAGAGAGGGAAAAATTGAGGAAGAGGTGGAAAAATGGACACATGATTGTGACCTACGCATATAGAGAATTGGTGATAAGCCAAATCAATTTGTTAATTATGATTTAAAAAATCCTATTTTCAGGTATTATAATTACTGAACCTTTTAAACCAATATATTGTAAATACTCCTAATTGAACAATGAAATTTCAAACTTTGGCAGATTTCTATCACCATAATATATACCTTACATTCAATGCCTTGTATATCCTAATACCAACCCAACCAAATGTAGACCACCAACACTTTCCTATGGTTTAAATGCTGAGCTGTGAGAGAGTAATAAATGATCTTGAGATTGCTTTCAGCATACTTGATTTTATGAACTATAAAATACTTTACTAGTTGAATAGTATACCAAGTATATTAAATTTGCTCCTTATAATGCCATATGAAATCAAAGGACTTCATGATATTTGAGCATTAGCATTATTACTGAGCATTTTCATTTTTATGGTTTTACTTATGATAATTATTTCAAATTAAAACCATCTTGAGAAAACTGCCACTGTAAAAAACCTAGTTCATTTAGTCAGTTTTATTTTTACCTTTATTCCTAAAGGAGTCCTTAGGATAAGGCATTTAACATTATTCTCCATAGTACTTTTAGTAAAGATATTATATAAATAAAAAAGACTAATAAAAGTTACGGGCTTTTTGTTATTATTGGTATAATTTTCAGCTTCACAAGGTATACTGGTATAATTTAAATGATTAAATAAGAAATAGTAAGCAATCACATAATGATAATGATAACCTAACATTTGCTTGGTCCTAAATATTTTTACATATATTTTCTCCCTTAATTCTCACAACCTGATAAAATAAATCTAATTATAATTTAAATTTAATTATCATTTTTACAGATAAAGGAATCAAGAAACAAGTGATTTGCTAAATGTACAGGTGGCATTTCGGTGCTGAACCCAAGTCCTCAAACTCAGAATTTCTGTTTTTGTTCAAACTTTTGAAAAGAACATTTCATTCACAAGCCAAATCCTTTGGCAAGACTCTCCTAAGGGTAAGCAAAATATGTATGGAGGAACATTAAACATTTTATTCGCCTACAATGTCATCATATTGAAACTGAGTGTAATTTCCAAATGGCCCAGTTAAATCTAGGGAATAAATTAGTTACCCACTAGGATCTGGACACTGTCACTTAAAGATCACTTGCATACAGAGGATGAAAATGTGCTGCTATATCAGCATCTTTCCATTCATCACACACACAAAATACATACTTTATTGTTATTGTTTACAAGTTTCTTATTTTTGTCCCTATCCATTAAAAACATAATAAGAGAAAATAAAAAACAGTCGCAAGCCACTCTTAGTATTTTGTGTTTTCTTAAAGTCTTTTTTAACACAAAAAATATACATAATCAATGTTTTCATCATACCTTTCATATACTTCTATGCACCACTCGCCCACCCCTGTAACAGCATGGCAATATTTACTTTTAGAAATATGACTTTTTATGGCTGAATATTTTATCTCTAGGTGATACCATAATTTATTTTACCATTCTTACACTTCGCATGGTTTTTATTATAAAAATGTTTGTTTATAAAAATAATGTAACTGTCATATAAAACTTGAAACACAGAGAAAGGAATGAACTCACAGTCCTAATTCTTGCTTAACAAGTCATTTTGTAAGTTGTGCTCATTCTCTTCTACTTTTTTTCATATGCCTATCATTTATTGTAATCATTAAAGTACACACAATTTTATATCTTGAATTTCTTTCCATTTAACATTATATTATAAGCCTTTTCCCTAACCATTGTGGCATGTTGGGTGAAAATTCAACACCTTATCTATTACTTGGTCAAACAATGCTGTTTCCTCTTTTTTTCTAAAATAATTTAAAATAAATCATTTTTCCAATAAATATGGCAAGCATGTAGTCTTTACATTGACGCATTTTTAAAAATTTTCCTAATATTAGATTCCTGCAAGTTAGATTATTGAAAAAGAGGCTGACTAGCTTTAATAATTATTTGGATATTGGGGAGAACGATGTAAAAAAATATTAACAATGACTATCTGGCCTTCAAAATATAAATAGCATCCTGATCTCAGTTTCTTATCAACCAGTCCTTTCAGTGATTGGGAAATACAGAAACAAATATACAGGGTATTAATTACATTGAAGCTAATTACAGTTTGCATAAATTGGTACATTTTGGCATCATCAGTGTTGAGCAAAAGTAGTGACCACTTAGATATGCACATTTTTATTTTTTCTGATTTGTTTTTTCAGTTTAAAAGTCTGTTTCCACATACCTTTTGGGAATAGTTTAGCTTATTTTCCCCTTTGAATCTCAGATGGAGTTTTAGAAATACTTTCTGGAACTGCTTCCTTTGGGGAGAGCTCTGAAATCCACATCAGAACACAGCAGTAATTCTGACAGAAGAAGAAAGAAATGCCCCAACTTACCGTTTCTAATGCATTTAGACGGTCCTGCAAATAAAGGAATAAAATATTATAAAAACAAAGCTATTATAAATCATTTTGAGTTTAATTTTCAGATATTCTATTTATCCTCTATTAGTAGTAATTTATTTTAAAAATATAAAAAAATGAAAACTCTTACTCAAGATGATATCTATAATAAAGTCATGAGAGAATCACTTTTCTCATCTCAGTTTGTATTAACACTATAAGGTTTAACAGTTAATACCATAAATTCAGATAGAGTTACTAAATGGAATAGATTTGACCACTTTTGCATTAGCAAAATTATTTACCTAATTAAGGATATATAAATATTAGATACATATGAATATATGAACTACAACTAGACAGTAAGAGTGATATAAAAAAGGAATTTATTTGCAGATATACCAGCTCTTGATTAGGCATACAATACAAAGTGTTATCTTACAGAAAGGTAAAGTTCAGACATAATAAGTTCATCAATTGAAATAAGTAAACTATTAATTGAAAAAATTCAGGAAAAATAAATGAGAAATATATGTCACATGCAGCCAATCCTGAACCCAGATGGAACTTCATTGCCTATAGCATCCTAGATGGAAGGTTTTACACAAATACTGGTTTTAACAAGAGTCATTGACAATGTTGAAATAATAAAAAGCGAAATAATTGAGAAGATAATTTCATTCTTAATCCAAAAGTTGTATTCTCAGCTCTGAAAAGAGCTGACAACTACATATAGGAAGTTTTTACCAGTTAGAAAAAGAATTTGAAAAAGAGGAGAGTTTGAAGATTTAAGAAAGTGGAAAGCCATCCTTTTTAGGAGAGTTAAGACCATTTTTTGTTCTCTCTCATTTTAAGCATTTGAAGGAGATGTGTAAAATCTGGATTTCTTTTTTGTTTAATCAAATTAATCATCTGTTGTAAGAAGGAAAAAGGGGAAAACAGTGCAGAGAGCCAGTCCGCTCAGTTCTTTCCTTGTCCTGCAGGGACAGACATGGGCCCGTGACACTTAGGAGTGAAAGAGGTTGGCCTTCAGCTGGGTGCTCCTGGCCTTTCCTGACAGACAGAAGCCCCGCTTGGGAAGGTGACTGGAAACCCAGTTGAACACGTCTACTCTAAACATTTGGCTGTGTGGGCACAAGTTAAATGAATATATTATGCAAAATCAGCCCCAAGAAGACTGTTTTTAGCAATATAATCTGTTTAATTGCATTTTGTTGGCAGACTTGAAAGAACCTCACCCTCGCCCTCATAATTTTCATGAAATAACTGTTTTGTTGGTGATTTGTATAGTGTCACATCTGAGCCCTTCATAATAAATGCGCATAATGCCTCGAGGGGGCTCTGATCTGTTATCAGGCATCTCATTCACAGTGCATCTGGGACAACCCCATTCTGCAATGCTTTATCATCCTTGGCAAACTGAGCAGAACCTCCTTAGAAGCCTTCCAGAGACAGAATCAGCCTTTGGGCAGCATCACATTTATATGAGCCATCTTGGAAGGCTCAAAATATTTACTGCCACTATTTGGGCCTTAAGTTTTTCCTATGCCATGTATCAATGGGATCTTATTGTTTAGAATTAGCATATTTTTAAAGAACACATACAGCTGGTTTGAAATTGGTGATTTCACATGATGTCAAAACGGAGGAGCTGAACTAAGTCTGTCTTAGATCTCAGTGTTTGGTAAAGACAAAGTGATGTGATTCATGTATTAGTGTTTTCATTTTACTAGAATATTTTCTTAAGTATTTTAAAAGAAATACATACCATCAGGGACTGCGTGTTTGTATTTTCACAAAATTCCTGTGTTGAAACCCTAATCCTCATTTCGAGGGCATTTGGAGATATGGCCTTTTGGAGATAATTAGGTCGCAAGGAGAGAGCCCTCATAATGGGATTAGTGCCCTTATAAGAAGAGACACAAGAATCATTTCTTCTCTTTCTGTTCTTGGCCATATAGGTATATAGAGAAGACCGCTGTCTGCATGCCCAGAGGAGAGCACTTGCTGAGAACCGAATCTGCCAGCACCTTGATCAAGAATTCCCAGCCTCCATAACTCTGGGAAATAAATGTTTGTTGCTTAAGCCACCCGGTCAATGATAATTTATTACAGTAGTCTGAGCAGATAAAGACATCTGCCTAGTCTGGAAGACCATGAACACAAATGGTGAAAAGCACCTCCATTTTATTAAAATACAAAGATCAATAAATAATCTATCCTGAGGCAATTTATTTATGTCTGTGTACAGCCTACTTCATTCCAAAGTGGTACTGAAACAGCTTTCCATGAAAAATACATGTTAAAAAAAAAGAGAGAGAGAGAAAATTAGGGAAATCAAACATTCAGTTCACTAACTTGAATTTAAATAATGCAATTCTCCAATCAGCAATGGTGAATAAGATACCAGTCATTGTTGCCAATTAGTGAGCTTTGTCTAAATTGTAGAGTTCTTGGTCTTTAGGCTACATACAAAAAGAAACTACTCCTAGTCTTTATGAACTTAACTAACCTGCTTTTTAAATTTAAGAAATGTATTTTGAAAATTTAAGTGGTTATACTTGACTTTTTTTAGCAAACAATATTAGTTATTATAATTCTGTATATAAAAGAGGCTACTGAAAATCCTTATTGTCAAAGAAAATATTTGCATATTCCCTCTCATATTATTCTTAATAGCAGTAACTTAAGCCAATATTGTGGCACTGATATAGCCTATGAAAAAAAATGCCAGTATATGTCCTAGAATGAACACACAATTTACATCAAAATAGTTAGCCCCTCCCAATCCCCACTAGAACTGCAGTTGTAGTATTTTGTTGTTACTGTATAATCTTCAGTTTTCATTTAAACAGATTCTATCTTCAAGCTCAACCTGTAGGTTTCACCCTGTCCCTTCTCCCCCATTACAAAAACACACTCCCATGCTTGGATCCTGAAAAGGAAAGTATTATCAGGAAAGGGAAAGGGGGGTTAGGAGGTAGAAGATGTAGAGAGAAAAGACAGTCTCCAGAAGTAGTCAAAATACTCTCATTATAAGCATGCTATTTCAGGTGGTCTTAATCATTCAGTGCATTTATTTTTGTAGTCATGGACTCTGGGAGTCTGATGAAACTTGATCTTCTCCTCTGGAAAATGTACATTATCCACAACACGCACACAATTTTGCATATACTTTTATGGGAATCGTAAACTCTCTGAGCCCACCCATGGGCTTTCAAGTCCTTTTACTCCAAATAAAAACACCTGAAATAAGATGTAAGACTATTAGACAAACAAACTATTTTATTAAACCAAATCTATTTATTTCTCCTGCATGAAACATTTCTAGATAAATGGTATCAATAACAAGGAAAGAAATGATTGGGAGTGATAGGTTAAACAAAAAACAAAGGAAAAAATTTCCCTCCAATATTTTGGAAAAAAAAAAACAGTTCTAGGGGGAAATAAAACCTGTTTTGTTGAAATAGTTTCTTTTGCAACTGGACAGTCTCTTTTCCACTATTGTTCTAAGGAGAGGAAAGTCTAAGAAACACCTAAAATGGCAAATACTATTTTCATGTTTACTCTTAAGGATCATAGATGTAGTCACTACCTAGTCATTAAATTCAAGTGCAGAGTGCTGGCTGTCCTTAACAATATTACCTGTGATATTACATACAATTGCAAAGTGAGAATAATGCTGCTAGACATCACATTTTAATTCATTCTTGGCTTGACAGATATATTTTTGAGGAAGCCTATGTACTACAAAAAGATTCATTTTAACTTTTCATAATGTGGTTTAGTGACCTGCCTTGAGTTGCACATACTCCTTTGCTACTTGGTGACAAAGGAGTGTACACTGGAACTTATGAATGAACCAAGGAAAATTTATTAAAATTATTGCAGATGGGCAAATATTTGTAGGCTAAGTTAGGAAATGAGCCCTACATGGACTGTTGGTATCTGACCTTGCTCACAAACATTTTATTTTATTCAGCTGAGTTAATCAATTATACACACTGATTCATCTGTTGCATCTAAAAGATGAATTTGAGGCCTTTTAGGTCTATGCCTGTAGGTAAGTATAGTTGAACAGGTCTAGTGACTTTCTTTTATCACAATAATGCAGCATTTTCCAAGAATGCCTTAAATGTATTTTTAATATGAAAAAATAGAATAGTTGGAATAAAAATATAGTGAGTCTCTACCCCTTCCAAGTATAAGCAGCTTTAAAAGTATAGAATAATTCTGGAAACTTCTCTGGAACTGAAGTGGCCATGATGGGTATATAGTTTTCAAAAAGAAAAACCTGCAATTGGGACTCCCTCCCATCATGGTTCTAAAAGCACAAAGCCCTTCTTCTGGAAGAAAATTCCACTCAACTTTACCCAGATAGACCACTGTATGGCTTTCTTCCTGCTAAAGTTAACTCTAATGAACACTCACACTTCACCTGTTACTTCTTATATGAAGGATATAAAATGAAATGCAAACATGTAACTTTTTTCCTCTATGCAATCCACATGAAAATCCATTTAATAAATTATCAGCCATTTTTTAATAATTAAAAGAGCTCAAAATAATTTCATATGTATTATTTTCTTTTCTAAGCTTCAAAATATTAAAATTAAAGAAGAGGAAAAGGCCATTTTCAATCTCAGAAAGAGATCAATGTTTCATATAGTGATTTAAAATAAAACAGACAGGAAAATTGCAAACAACCTCAATATTGCAATACCAAAAAACGCTTTGAAATATAGTGCAAGTTGGCTTTGAATATACCAATAGAATCAAAATCAATAATCCATACATAAAATTGCATGTTATCTATTAAAAGTCAGACAAAGTTTCCTTGTACCAAAGAAAACCTCCAGAATGAGTGGCAATAGAGCACTTGCTGTGGTTTCCCAGTCATCTAGTGTCGATTTTAGCCAGCATGTGGTACCTATAGGCAATCTTTGCTAATTCCTTTCACTAACCGCTTATAGGACTTTTTCAAGTAATTTCCTTCAGAGTCCAAAATAACAAAATAGAAAAAAAGAAAACCACAGCAAAGATTTTGTCTAATAAAGTTATCAATAAACCGCTTCCTAATAATTTTGACTTATCAAGAAAAGCCAGGTTAAAGGGCTGTATCACTTCCCAACCTTGAGGGAGGGAGTACCCAGTAGCATTTGCTTTTTTTCACTCAGTGTGGCAAATTGCTGATAGAATCAGAGGCAGGATTCAAGAACAGAGTCAAAGTATGTGCTCCACATTGCTGATCTGCTCTCTCATTCATTACTATTGCCATGATAGAGGCCTGAGGCAGCCGGCTGTTCTATAGCTTTCTTCTGCTGCCTTCTCAGGCATTTGGGGTTGGGGTTTGCAGTCTTGTTATGAGGCCATTACTGACCACTGTACTTCAGTTTGACACTGTTCAGAAAAGGCTGAGGTTGCACCTATACTGAAGTGGTATGTATGCATGGATTTGTGGGGTGGGGAATGCAAATGGGTTGGAGGAGGAAGATGAAGAGAAAGATATGAAAATGGAGCTCTGCTGGTTTGTATTACAAGTTTTCACATTGGAAAATGTGGCCTGAAAGGTGGTGTAAGGGTTTTACTTCAAGTCCCTGTAAACACTTCCAGTCAACTTTATGAAACTAACCCCAAAACATCTCAGATTTACCCTTTATATTTCAGATTACAAAGCACCGCAATGAGGTGTCTCTTTTGTCCCCCGTTTGAAATGAAGAATCACTTTAAGACTCTTCAATGCACAATGTATTGGTACAAAGGTGTATGCCTATAGGATAAGACTACAACCCAAATGAAGTGCAAAAGACAGAATTATCTTTCTACTGGAACTGCTCAATTCCACGGTGAAACTGCTGGTAATAGGTAACAAAAGTTCATTGAATGACATCTGGAGTAGGGAACAACTAAACATTATTTGCAGATAACATAAAGACAATGATGGTGGACAGGGGCAATGCAATTGACAACCGATGTAATTTCAAAGATTGTCCACAAAAAGGAGTTGAGTAGTAGGAGGAGAAAGCCAACAACTTAGAAATCAACACACCATTTTTTTTGTCAGGGATTTACATTTTAGGAAATAAAGTACATGTCTCCAGCTGTGACGCTAGGCATACATCAGATGAATATACTCTGAACTATTATGCAAATCACAGTGCAGTAGTGATCATGGCACAATTTATGAGTAGGTTTATGTCATGTAGAATTTGTGGAAAACAAGAGGGTGTGCTTTTTGTTCCAGGGTGTGTACCTGACTGCCACCAAACACAGATGGTTAAGGAGACTCCCTGAGGCTGACATCTCCTTCGTCTCTCTCAAGGGCACACCTTTCTTGGGCTTCTAGGTGAAGAATGTTTACACAGAAACCCACATAACCATAGAACCCATTGTCCCAAGCTTCTTCCTCCTAAATATTTGAACCATACATAGCACTTGATTGTTGACTGGCATGCATGTCACAAGCTGAGTCATTAAATGGTATAAGCAAACAGTCCTCCCTGAGAATGGAACTGCTTACCTTTGAGCAATTTCAACAATCCACAAACTATTTCACATGCAGAGTCGTTTACTCAACTCTTTTTAGGAGTTAAAGTGGAAGGACCATTATATTAGAGATTCTCTCTTACCCTCACTCCCAAATTTCTTCTGTGGGTTTCTGTGTACAGTTACCTTTCACCTTTCTATACTAAAGAGTGTGGCTTCTGATAAGGGTTATCAAGACATAAGTAGGTGGTTTTAAAATAACATATTTAGCTGACATGAGTTAGGTTTTTCTTGCTTCCTAATTCAGTTTGACTAAGATTAACACTGTTATTAATCTTCATTTCCTAATATATAAGCACAGGTAGGAAGGGAAAGGTGGTTAAAATCTAAGGTTAAACCTCAGATTATCTGTACTCTGATAATCAATAGTGCACTATTCTTAGTATCTATGACTGAGGAAAAAAACTCCAACAACTTAGTTTGCATCCAACATAGGAAGCATCCATGAAGTAGATTTATCCTGTATGCCTGAAATAAAGCAGATGTATTGAACTATTCAGCCCCAAATATCCTAAATATTCCTACCTATGAAATACTTAACTGCTTTTTCTTCAAATTGAGCTTCATTCTGATTTTTCATTGTAGTCTGACTAGCATCTTCCCAAGGTGGAATTTTAAACAGTAGCTTTGGCTGTTTAAGAAAGATGTAAGTAAAGAAAAAGAATTGGAGAGCTCTATTATCTTAAAGTAATAAAAAATACTATAAATACTAGTTACAGCTATAAAAATAACACTAATAGAACTATAATAATTTCAAATATTATTTAATTTCTGCATTTAGAGGATGTGATATCACATTGCATTTTTACAATGTTCTCTAAAATAATTTCTTACCCAATTTAAACTCACAATTTTAGGTCATTACTTGAAATTTAAAACATTTTACTCTTTAGGATTACAAATAAAGAACAGTAGTTTAGTTCAAAGTACCCTCAGTTGCCTTACTTTCAAAATCATACCTGGAAGTAACTGATCCTAAACTCCAAAGTGTATGATACAAAGGAATAAATAAATAAAGTTGGGATGGGGGTGACTTGTTAATGGACACACTGGGCAGTTTTAGCCAGTAATGAAAGCAACTTTTAATACTCACAACCTTACCTGTGGATAATGGAGTGATGATGCAGTGTGATGTTAAGAGTTCAGGAAGGTCTGATTACTCAAGTTATACTTTGCTTCAATTTCAAAACTACTTACAATTCTACCATCAGATATTTATTTTTTAAGAAGAACTAAAAAATTTATTCTTTGACTCCCCCTACTCCAGTTCATCTCTTGAATGAAAAATGTTTTTGAGATAGATGACCATTATCTCGTTCATTCTAAGGCAGGGGTCAGTTATGTAGGACAGTCGGTCACTCTAACCCGCCATGCATTTTTATAGTCCCATGAGCATTTACATTTTTATTGTGCTGAAAAGAAAATCAAAGCAAGAATAATATTTCATGACATGGGAAGTTACATGAAACTGAATTTTATTAGAACATAGCCCACTCATTCCTTAACATGTTATCTATGGCTGCTTTTGTTTAGCAGGGTTGAGTTTTGGAGAGACAGCACACGTCTCTGAAATTTAAAATATTTAGAGTCTGGCTCTTTACAGAAAGCTTGGCAACCCTCTATCCTATAAGAACTGCTTCCTGCCTCACAGAGGTCACCCTTTGGCAAACCCCAAGTTTCTGAAGGGAGAGGAGCAGACTGATCAGACAAGAAAAGAGAACAGGAACCAGAAAATATCTATCCAAATTTTTAAACTTTAAAATAATATTTAAAAGCTGTATATACATAAATACATATCCCAGAATATAAGCCATTCCTCGGGCCGATAAGGTTTCTTCTTCCTTTTGTCCTTTATTTCTTTTATCCATTATTTTTTCTTTCCTTCCAATGTCTTCCCTTCCTTCCTTGCTTACTCGCTTCCTTTCTTTCTGCCTCTCTCCTTCCCTTCCTCCCACTTATTCCTTTGAGTAATTCATCCATTCATTCACATTTATTGAGGCAGACACTATGTTGGATCCCGGGTTCACAGTTATCAACAAGGAAGATAAAGTCTCTCTGCCTTCATGGGGCCTACATTACAAAGGAGAAGACAGACATAAATAAAGGAGACCCTTAGGAACTGCGATGAGGGTGAGGGCAAAGGTTTACTTTAGACTAGTCAGTCAGGGAAAGTGCCTACAAAGAGGTGATTCTTGAGCTGAAACTCACAGGATGGAAATGAGCCATCCTTGAAAGAGCTAAGGGAATAGAGCATTACAGAGAGAGTAGCAAATGCAAAGGTCCTGGAACAGGAAAGGATTTTGCTTAATTCCAGGAACAGAAGGAACTCTGATATGTGTGTGTGGCTGTTAATGAAAACATCCCTTTAAATAACGTGTATCATAAAAATTAACACTATTTATTAGAGGCTTATTGTTTGCCAAAAACTGTATTGGGTGTTTTTTTACTATGTTCTCATTTAATGCTCACAAAAATTCTCAAAAGGTGAATATTATGAATTTCTTCATTTATAGTCAGAGAACAGACTCAAAGATATTAAATGTATTGAATTCACATAGGGATTACGTGTTGGAGCTTAGACTGTAATCTAGGTCCACATGACTCAAAGGAGTCTATATTAACTCTTAAAAACAAATTGAAATGGTATTTCTGTTTTTAGTTTTTTGAGGAACCTCCATATTGCTTTACACAATGGTTGAACTAGCTTACATTTCCACCAGCAGTGTTGGAGGGTTCCCCTTTCTTTGCATCCTCGCCAGCATTTGTTGTTTTTAGTCTTTTATATGTTGACCATCCTAACTGGTGTGAGGTGATATCTGATTGTGGTTTTAATTTGCATTTCCCTGATAATTAGTGATGTGGAGCATCTTTTCATGTGTCTGTTGGCCATCTGAATTTCTTCTTTGGAGAACTGTCTGTTCAGCTCCTATGCCCATTTTTGTAATAGGGTTATTTGCTTTTTGGGTGTTGAGGCATGTGAGTTCTTGATATATTTTGGATGTTAACCACTTGTTGGATATGTCATTTACGAATATATTCTCCCATACTGTACGATGCCTTTTTGTTCTGCTGATGGTGTACTTTGCTCTACAGAAGCTTTTTAGCTTGATGTAGTCCCATTTGTTCATTTTTGATTTTGTTTCCCTTGACCCAGGAATTCCACTCCAAGGAATTTACCCAAAGAAAACAACTTCTCATATTCAAAAAGACATATGTACCCCTATGTTTATCATAGCACTATTTACAATAGCCAAGACATGGAAGCAACCTAAGTGCCCATCAGTAGATGAATGGATAAAGAAGTGGTACATGGAATACTATTCAGCCATAAGAAAGAAACAAATCCTACCATTTGCAACAACATGGATGGAGCTAGAGGGTATTATGCTCAGTGAAATAAGCCAGGCAGAGAAAGACAAATACCAAATGATTTCTCTCATTTGTGAAGTATAACAATGAAGCAAAACTGTAGGAACAAAACAGCAGCCGACTCACGGACTCCAAGAAGGGACTAGTGGTTACCAAAGGGGAGGGGTGGGGGAGGCTGGGGGTTGGGTGGGGAAGGAGAGAGAAGGGGATTGTGGAGTATCATGATTGGTACCTGTGGTGTGTGTGGGGTCACAGGGAAGACAATGTAGCTCAGAGAAGACAAATAGGGACTCTGTGGCATTTTACTATACTGATAGACAGTGACTACAATGGGGTATGGGGGGGACTCGATAATAAGGGTGAATGTAATAACCACATTGTTTCCTTGCGAAAGCTTCATAAGAGTGTATACCAATGATACTATAATAAAAAATAAATAACAAAACAAATTGAAGGTCACTTTGATGTATATATTTTTTATATTATATATATTTATATATTATACCATTATCATGTTATATAATATATAACTATACATAATACAGATTTAGGTAATAATTTGAAATAATACATAGACAGAAAATACATAAATACATACCTTTTTATTACAGTCAGGCCTATATTTTATGTGTGGGGTGAAGGTTAGGGGCCACACTGGAAAACTTCTGGAGCGCCTCTCTCAAAAGGACACATGCCAGAACAGCATTCCAGAACCTTATTTTTAACAGATATTAGGTGACAGTGTAACGAAACATACTGTATCACAATAAATTTAGCATTCAAATAAAAATACACTATTTGTACCCATTTTTGTATTCATTTACCACATGATATTATATTTTTGCCATCTGCTTTTCTTAAGTAAGTTGCAACTCCTCCTGCTCTCCAGGTCTGACGTTACGCCAGCTGAAGCACCCACAGTCAATACCACCAGGGAAATACCAGAAGAAAGGAAAAGGGAAAACAAGACCCTAACTTAATTAGCTGGGATGTAGAGCAGTTAAATGGCACCTCTATTGTGCTGGTCTTCCAGTTCTTTTAGATCTGGGCTGCAGGAGTTTAGATTCATTATCGAGCTCATTCCCCTATCCGTGTTTCATTCATGACAAATTTATTAGTACCTTTCTAACAGTGAAATGAGAACTACGATTTCAGTTACAATCAGAGTATAGTAAAGGCATGGAATCGCTTGTAGGTAATATTTTTCGATTGCATTTTATGAGCACATGTAGAAGTATTGTTAACGACCTTAGATATTATTTATTGGCACACTAATAAGCCTTCACACTTTTAAAAGTAAACATTAAACATCTAAAAAATTAAATTTAGAAAAGTGTAATGCAGATACCCTGCAAAGGAATGCACTTCAGCATCAACTTTTTAAAACCAAAATAATCACTGATTATAATAAAAAGACAAAGATATGAGGATATGCTTATTAGTCATTCTTTCAGCTCATTTCAGTTTTATCATTTTTTGCACAATTTAAAATTTATGCAAATGTTTTCAGTGTTGCCTTTAATTTTTGCCAGAATATTTTGAACCTGGTTTAAAACTGAAATTGAAGAAGCCCAAGGAGGGCTTTAATAACAACTTTCTTCAGTTTGTTTATTTAAAATGTGATGAATAAGCAAAAAGAAAAGGTACAGAATAGAAAAAGAAAAATGATCCCTTCTCCTTCCTAGAAGTGCTCAAGATTACTGGATTGTCCATAATCTTGCACCAGGAATTACAATCTTTCTCAAATGCCAATAGCCAAAAATATATACATGACACTGTCCCAGTTGCATGTATATGTAAGCTTAGAGTGTTAGAGTTTATAGCAGTTTTTAAGTTATAGAAGGGCAGTAAAGTTTCACTAGTCCTCAGTATTATCTGATTTATTTAATGTACTTTCCAAAAATTGTATAGATTCTTATAGTCTTTTTCTTGAGGAGGATGTCAGTATTTTACTACACTAAATGCTTAATATGTTTGCAAATGCAAAATTCTCACAGAAAAAAAAAAAAGGAAGAATTAAAAGAAAGAAAGGCACGGAACCTCAACAAATAAAAAAAGCATAGAAATTATGTTCTCCATAAGCTCCTAAGGCATTTAAATTTAGCAGTAGAGAAGACAGGCAGATTCTAATACAAGTACAACCTACTGACTGAGCAAGCTATGGGCCTTAGCTTCTTTATCTGTAAAATGAAAACAACAGTACCTACCTATCCTATAGAATTGTTGCAAGGACTAAATCACATTTATTTAGAAGTTTTAGCA